TACTTTTAGGCAGGATTAGAGTAAATTAATCTACGACACCTTGGGTGTGGTCAAATAAATTGATCGAAAGGGTTTGACCTCCTGAGTCCAGAACTGTAATTAGAACTCAAATCGCTCAAGAGATGGCGGAGCAATGAACTAAAAGTTTGTACTTGAATAATATTTAAAAAAAAACTTTTTTTAAGCTATAAAAGTCTTTTTTTTTTCAATGCCCAATAAATAATTTTCTCTACAAAAGCTACATCCTAACCAACTGTTTAAGTACAAAGCACACGTCACTCGGTTTGTAATCGCGATAGTATTGCATTCAGTTCAGAGTGATTGTAATAGAATGACTCGCTGGCCAGCTTAAGATATCCAATTAGGCATAGCTGAACTATCCGTGTGATATTTAAATTGAATTAAGAATTTTATGGTTGGAAAAACAGAAAACGTACTGTGTGGTTAGCACTCTCAAATATAGTATTTTCTCGAACTCGGGCTGTAGTTCCAAGAATTACAGTTGCTCATTCAAGAGGTGCTTTTATCTATTTAACTGAATAATACATGAACATATCACTCCTCTCAACGACCCTAAAAAAACAACCCTACATCACGAATTTCTTCGTTTTGTTTTTACTGCACGATGATTTATGTATTTTTATAGTCTAGAGTTTATTATTTTTATCCTGGCGTGTCATTGACAAAGTAAAGAGAGCTTGTGCCCAATATCCTCTAATTGGTGATGTCAGTGGAAGAAATGGGGCAAAATGAAGACTTGTTGTGAAGTGAGATTACAGGATTTAGTTTTGTCAGTGAGAGAAATATTTCGTGCTACTTCGGAACACACACACACACACTATGTGACGATTTACAGAAAAGTATTAGACTACATAAAAAAAATAAAAGTATAAATGCTAACTGGACTCCTGCTTCACGCCCGGTGACACAGTTTACTTCGGTCACTCATTACCTTACGAAAAAAAAAGGCTTAATGGTAATTAAGACACGTGGAAGTTGTCGTTGAATAATGATGTCATGCTTGCACTCATAGGTACGTTAGTGAGGTTAAGAAAGTTAGGGGTTCGATTCCCCTTGGTGGACACAGCAGATAGCCCGATTTGTCTTTGCTATATGAAAACACACATTAAATATTGGACGTAGGTTAACGTTAATTATATTCATAGATGGTGCCACGTCCTTACAACAAAAAACAATTAAATGTTCTATAAAACAACATACGCACAGTGTGGGGTAGGGCACATCTTGTATATCTCGGAGATTGCGCTAGCACTCTATATGAAGGAATACAATGAAGAAAAAAAATGACTGCCACTATTGCAATGATACATAAACGCGGATGAAGTTGATACAGCAACAGCCACCATAACGTTGATATGAAGAGCCGTTTACTGAGTTATACCAACTTCTTACTTTGACCCCTAATCTTACAACTTCGTCGCGTAAGACACTTCTGCGGCCAATGACCGTCACATAATCAATATCGTGAACCAGTGTGGAAGGACATTTAAGAGCTGGGTGTTGAAAACAGGTAACAGAAAGCATCTCTACCTCCACTTCTATGGCCACTACCTCTTCATACAAAGTCATCACACAGTGTACATCATGTTATAAGTATATACATAGTGAGTTCTTAAAACTTATTCAAAACTTTTGGTGAGGTAATAATGAACACTGTAATAATATATTATGTTATAAATAAATTGTATGAGAGTTAGGACTTTTGCGTTATTTATCATAGCATCCATCCCCACATTTTTTTAAGGTCATAACCCGGACAAAGGACGGGTACCCGAGCTTGTATTAATTAGTATATTTCACAAACGTTAGGTTAGTAAATCATTTATTGTTGAATTGAACATGTTTCAAGGAAACTGATTAGTATAGATTACATTATGATTTGTGAAGTATGTTCTCAACAAAGAAAATTAGTTAATTTGACACGTGCGTCTGTTGGTTCGTTTTCTTTTTTTACAGATGTGTCGAATTTTGACTATGTTGTTCTTAATGGTTTATGAAACGAGTGTACGTTTTAATCCTGTAGTAACCAACCTTTTACGTCACATAAACGTCTGAAAATATTATGTGTCTCTCTCTCGGTATTTTTAATTTGCAAAAGTAACCAGTTTTTACTTTTGGTATTTATTGTGCAGTTGGTCGTTTCTATAGTATTAAGTTTGCTAAGAATTTATTTGATCTTAGCGAAAAAAATCTTTCCGTGAAATTAAACAAAAAAACGTTTGATCTCACTACACATGATGTTGGTATCAAAATACCGTAACGACACAGCAGGTGTTTTGTTTTATTTGCACTTGTTTCTGACAAAAAAAATCCCTTTTTCTTTTTTTTTTTACACCCTACAAAGGGATTTATTAATGTTTACCGTAGGTGTGCGAGATTCCACTGTATGTGAGCGTTTTGAAATATTTGAACATTTAGGGACTCTAGTTGATACTGACGAACCGCTAGGGTTATATCACGTGATTTCATTTCGTAGGCTTAGATAACGTTGGATATATATATAAACTGTAAGACTTACCTAGGTTGATATAGTTCGAATCTCGTCAGTCGTACATCTTAAATTGGTGTTCAACAGTAGGTGTGACAACTTCTCTCATATTTCACACGTACTTGACAGTTGGTGCTACGTTGTTGGCAAAATATATGAAACGCGTGGACTTGTGGCTAAAACCCGTATTGATTCTTCTTAGTTGTTATTAGTATAGAGAGTGATAAGAGCTGAGCATGGCCTATAGTTGTTGTGTTTGGAGTGTGAAACTGGGGCAGGTTTCATGGTTTGATACTCATTACAACAGAAATGGTACTTTCTTTATTTCTTGGAGGGAGAGGAAGGGGGCATGAATACACTTAGAGTAACAGTCAAATCCCTCTAGGGTTAGCGGTGGGTACCTTCATTGGTTACCTTCCTCTAATCTATAAGTCTGAAATTAAGAACTATTTTTTTTTGTAGCTTTGTACCAAATCCTGACATGAACTTAACCTTTATATTGTGGTCTTAAGTTCATCTATAATTTTAGGTTTTTATTGGATCTTACAAAAAAATAGTAAAAATAAAAATTACCAGCTGTTGTTTTAACCACAATTTTTTTTAACCTTTATTTAAAAAAAAGAAATAAAAGTAACATAATTATTTATTTTTTGTGCTGGACGTTCATGAAGTCTTCTCTGAATTGTAGTACAGTGTCTTGGTAATTTATCTTAACGCCAAATTTATATGTAAACCTTATTCATCACTGTTTCATCATATCCCACGTTTTGAGTAGACGACATTTTTTCCTCTATTTCTAAGCTACATTATGTATTATTTAGTAATGTTAAAAGTCTAAAACTTAAGTAATTGAAAATCTGTAGTTTAATTCACCTGTTTTAACACTATTTCCTGAAGGTAGCTAATATTTTTTATAAAATGTTATCCTTGTTGCACCAATTCCAACTGTGCTATCAGTTATTTACATTTCCAACTGTGCTATCAGTTAGTTACATTTCCAACTGTGCTATCAGTTAGTTACATTTCCAACTGTGCTATCAGTTAGTTACATTACCAACTGTGCTATGAGTTAGTTACATTACCAACTGTGCTATGAGTTAGTTACATTACCAACTGTGCTATCAGTTAGTTACATTACCAACTGTGCTATCAGTTAGTTACATTACCAACTGTGCTATGAGTTAGTTACATTTCCAACTGTGCTATCAGTTAGTTACATAAAAATTTTTAGTTTTGAATTTTATGGTTTTTATGGGCATTTTCTACCAGTACTTTTCCCACTGTAGATGAATCTTCACCCAGTTTAGTATGGAGGTTCATTGGGTACAAGGGGAGATACTGTACAAATTTTCAGTTTTGCATTTTATGTTGTCTTTTTTTATAGGTGTTTTTGCACTTTATACCACTACTCCACCCCCTGTTTATGGTTCTTCAACAGATTTGGCATGAAAGTTTTGGCAGACTTGCAGTTTCACATTTTGTGTTTTGCAATTTTTATGGGTATTTTTTAATTGTTTGCAATAACATATAAGGGAAGCAACTTTTCATGTTGTAAGATAATCTTTCATTAATCATGTATTTACATAACTTCCGTGCTAGTTTATAATAATTTAGGTTCCATTAGATGTCTAACAAATTTTCATGTATCTTCCAGCTTTTCTTGTTCTTGATTGGCAAAATTTAAAACTTTCAATCTGTTTTTAAATTTTGATACCCCTCTGGATAGATCTCGATAATTTGTTAATGAAACAATATTAAATATGTAGTGCTGATAATACCAATGATTTGTTAAGTTACTCCAGAAGAGATTTAAATAATAATGCTTGTTATAATTTAAACTGTATATATTTATATTTGTGTGTTGTAAAAAAAAAAAAAAGATCAAAGTTCAAGGTTGTAAAGGCTCATCAAATTCAAAACTTTAACATTTTCATTAATAATAAGAAACAAAATATATATTCCAATATATATATATTGATATTTTATCTGACAGATATAATTAGTAAAGTAATTAGGTTTTGAAAGCTATTTCACTTTTTTATGGAGTGATTTTTTACATAACTACATGTTTTACATTTCAGTGTTCGTAGTGTTATGCACAAACACCTTGAGAAAATGGGGGAAGTGACATTTGATAAGATATTCAACCAAAGGCTAGGTAAGTTTCATGTGTTTATGTGCTATCTGTAAATGTTCTTAGTCTTGTATTCAAATTACTAATTAATTAAGTTTATATGTGTCATTCACATAGTCTTGATTTAGAGCGTCAAAAATATTATACCATTAATACTGATAGAAGTGCATAGAGAAGAATGGGTAAAGTTGTGTTTTACGTGATTTTGTTGCTAAAAGGAATCAAGGTAATGGTTATAATATTTGCTTTTAATTGTCAGATGCACTCCTTCATCTCATTTGCATGCTTTCCGTTGACTTGCTTTTGTTTTATTCTTCCGAAACTCGTGTTTTCAACATCTTTCTAAATCTCGAGATGTATCACCTAGAGTAATAGGCTGACATTTATAATGTTGAATATGATAAATTACCTCAACTATTGCTTAAAAAATTAACAAAGATTGGGCAAATCTGAAATGTGATATACAAAATAAAAGTTTCTTATTACAACATGTTTGACCTTTTTATGCCTGTGATTTTACTTATGCCTCTACACTTGTATATGATTTTTGTTTTAAGTAAGATTAAGCCTGGCCTTGTAGGTAGCATGCCAGATTGGGAATCCAGGGGTCCACGGTTTATGTCCCATTGCTGCAAAAATTGCCTGCACTATTTGGTCAAATAAGAGCAGCCCAAGCACTGACAAGTGGTACCGTGTACTTAGCTGCCTTCCTTTAGCTGCCTTCCTCGTGTCTATCAGTTGATAATTAAAGTTGATTTAGAGAAGGTAGCCCTTCTGTAGCTTTGAACAAATATCTGAAACAAACACACAAATTAATTGTAAAATATAAATATGCAATAATATATAAAAAAACTAACGTATAAAGTCAACAATAACAATCATGACTGTAACACACATTCAGTGACTCCACAAGTTTGAGTTAGCTTCTACTACAGTTGTAGCATTTTGTGCCATTCATCCTGCTATAAATTATTGAATAATTGATGTTTTATTGAAACAATTGTTGGAACCAACTCCTGCTGCAAATTATAATATATATTTGACACATTATTTAAATACTTAAAGCCAAATCGTGTTACAAATTATAGAACAGTTTCATAGCTGGTAAATAAGCATTATTCAAGATTAAACCCCCCACAACAAATGTTTACTACTATTTGGCCACATTCGCCAGTAATAGATCAGTAGAGGAGTCACACTTATGTAATGACTAAACCATTTTTTTTTCACGTAATACAGTCAGAGTTGTAGCCTTTACGTAATTGACTCTAAAACTATTCTTTTTTCGTCTAATCAATTCACCTAGTAGTCATTTTCTATTTTATAAATGTGGACTCTGAAACCATTGTATTTTATGTAATTCATTTAGTAAGTAGGCCTAAGTCACCGTCATGTAATTAATGGTCTCACATTATTTATTGTGATTCATTTAGTAAGTAGGCCTAAGTCACCGTCATGTAATTAATGGTCTCACATTATTTATTTGTAATTCATTTAGTAAATAGGCCTAAGTCACCGTCATGTAATTAATGGTCTCACATTATTTATTGTGATTCATTTAGTAAGTAGGCCCAAATAATGTGAGATCATTAATTACATTACGGTGACTTATTGTAATTCATTTAGTAAATAGGCCTAAGTCACCGTCATGCAATTAATGGTCTTACATTATTTATTGTAATTCATTTATCCCTAGTATGGTTATATTTTAATCTACCAAGTTTTATTTGCATTTTTGTTGCTTAAGTTTTCTTTATACTGAAGGATTAATTAACGGTGACATAAGTAAGGCTTAGATTTGTATTGGCACATGTACAAGTTATGTATGTTCTGTTACATTACTGCAGCTGTATCATATAGGTTGGACATAGACCTTTCTTATCTCCAAAGCTCCACCGTCAATATGGTTGAAGCTGCTTCAACCTGATAACATTAGTCCTGAGTAGACTATAGTTACACGTTTTGTTTATGACGTTCATCATGTGCTCTCGAGAGAGTCGCCGTTGTTAGGTAGCAGCGCGAGCGTTTCGTTTTTACATGGAGATTGTATACGTTTTTTAAAAATAAAAATTTCATTTTGTTTGTAAAAAAACGTTTTGTAATAAACCAAACTTTGAAATGTTTGTTAGTTGACTGTATACTTAATTCATGCATCTCATTTATTCAGTCAGGAAAAAAAGACGTGTTTTGCATGTTGTTTATGTAATGATTTTGTTTTATTTATTATTCCCTGGATGTAAATATAAAATAATATTTTTAAACATTTTGTCATCCAGTTTTTATTACATCATAACTCTAATCATGACCTCTTCCCCGATGGCTGAGCGGTACGTTTTAGGGCAATATTAAGGTTTTAGTTCAATTCCCGCTCTGGGCACAGCGCATATAGCCTATTGTGTATATAAAAAAAAAAATAGGCCCGAAATAAAGCTTTAATTGTTCCAGCAACATACAAGTTTACTGTTTTTATCTCTGTATGAAATACAATTACAAATTTAATCGGGGAATCTATGCATTGCATCCATTACGAAGTTTGTATAAATATATAATTTTGTTTGGATATTTTGTAAGACAGTTTCAGGCCTAAGGTAAGTTTTGAACACAGATGGGCCGGGTGTGGTCTAGTAACCCAAGAGTTTGGCAATGGTTGATGCTGACTACTTGTTTTCCCTCTAGGCTATTATTTTAAAATTAGGGAGGACTAACCTAGACGGCCCTTTTGTGTCCTAAACAAACAACAATCTGTACGCATTCACCCTAAAACTGCAAACACCCACAATAGAGGCTTGATAACATGTATTCATTTTCATTGAAAATTTATTTTGTAAGAATTTTTATGTATTATTTTATTTTTTTCAATATCCGTGAATAAAGTGATTTTACCGACAGTTTTATGTGTGTGAAACCAGTTATTAGATCTCCATCTAGATCAAAGTGACTTCAGTCGATTTCGTGAGTGAATCTCAAAATAAAATCCACAGTATAATTTCATCTAGAGCAGGAGGACACCCATCCCACAACAAAGATATTTCGTTGTTCAGGTCTGAGAAAATACATATTCAAAAACCTTCAATCTGACATCCGTCTATATCGACTGGATTAGGCCTAGTAGTTAGCATTCATTATCTTTGAATCCGATGGTTCGTGGTTCGTGACCCGTTGCAACATAAACACACACCGCACGTTGAGACTTTGGTTGCACTACAATAGTAATAGTCAAATCCTATACCTGTTCGATCAGTGATCAAGAGTTGGCGGTTGGTGCTGTGTCATGTATCTCCTTCCGTCTATCCATATATATATACTTGTCTACATTTTCCCAGGTTAATTACAACGTTGCACTTGTATTCAATTTTATAAGTTGGATATTTACCCACTTGCCCACGTGCATGTTTCACCGATTCGGTTTCATTCCCTGGTGATCATTTAAAGAGCAAGATACTTGAACTTGCATTACACTCTGATGACAATGGCATTTCTGGTTGTAAAATCAGAGTTAACGTTATTGTAAAATTACAGCTATAGTAGGGCTAATCTCTGTTGAAACATAACAGGAAAATGTTAAACCTTACGTTATACATTGAGCCACTTGGCTTTGTCACTTTTCGCGATTTATATATATATATATGCAGCATTTGTATCTAAAATAGTAATACTCCACCTAGCGGGTGAAACAAATAATACTCCACCTGGCGGGTTATGTGTGTTCATAGTTTACAGAAATATCAGACATTAATTTTACAGACCCCCCCCCCCCCGATGAGACAGCGTTAAATTTATAGACTTACAACGCTGAAGTCCGGGGTTCGATTCCCTGGACAGAGCTTATATAGCCACTGTGTAGCTTTGCGCTAAACCAGCCAACAATAGATAGCAGTCACTCCACTGTCTTACATCAAAGATCGGCATAGAAACACTTGCCCAGGGATGGCGGCAATCATGTCGTAAATGGTTAGCGTGAAAACCGTTTGTGCAACTAACTAGTTGCAAGCTACAGTCACTAGGTGGTAAGCTAATTAGTAACGTTAAGCCTACTTCGTATATCTGTTATTCAACGTAATGGAAATTTGACAATTAAAACAATCTGGATGTAAAATTAAAAGCACGCATAATTTACATATATATATAAAGTGCGTCTTATAAACACTACAAAACTCGTTCATGATTTAATTCTCTAAAGCTAAACTATTTTATTTTCTTCTGTTTATGTTTTCAATAACGGCGATAGAATCTTTTATTGTCTTATATACGAGTCGCGTACCAATAACTAAAATTTCGTTGTTGCGCTTCCAGGATTTTATTTAACGTTCTCGTGATGACGTAGATAAGTAATATAGCCCAATTTTATCTGTAAACTGATATGCTTCCACATTTAATAAATGGTACGGAGCCTAGTTAATCGTTTATTTTAAGGAAAAGGGGGCTTATATACTGATGGAAATGAAACTGGTTATAGTTTTTGAGCAGTTTTATTATTTCATCAAGTTTCATAAAACCATAATAAAAATCGAACGGACGCACTCTCGGGTAGAAGATGTACAGAAAGACAAAAAACAGGATGCCCCAAAAAATAGTCTGGATTTGTAAACGTCATGGAAACAAACCGATGGCTGACAGTCAGCTTTATCTGCCAGTCTAGGGAATATCCGTCATGGAAACAAACAGATGGCTGACAGTCAGCTTTATCTGCCAGTCTAGGGAATATCCGTCATGGAAACAAACAGATGGCTGACAGTCAGCTGTATCGGCCAGTCGAGGGAATATCCGTCATGGAAACAA